GGAAAAATGTTGCATACTTTAACGTTTAAAACAAACCTACAACAACAACAAATTGCAACAAACTAGAACTACAATAAATGGCAAAAACTTGCCCGCGACTCGCAGAAGACTTGCAAACTTCCCTGTTAATCAGAGGACTTCCAACCGTATCTGATCCCCTAGTCGGGACTTACCATGGATCAGAAATACTTCTCGCATCATTAGGAACTGCTTCGGACTACATTTGTTTGGGGCACTAATCACTAATCAAAACTCGTTTGGACTACTTTTTGGACGGACCCCTTGGGGGCAATTTGTGGCCTTATCCCAAAGTCGGCAATCGGCATCTCATCAGCAATCGTCGCTTGTCGAAATCCAATCAACGCCGCTAATGCTCGCCAGACATGCAACCAGCCAGCGATGGCAGTGATCTGGGAGATGTGTTCATTTTGGCCGCCACTCCATGCAGCGGACAGCCTGGGAATCCAAGTCCACTAAGATTTTGATGGATGTCAGCGCGCCCACCCGATCGGCAGCTTCACACATTGAGTTATCGCGGCGTCCACGAGCATCTCTCTATCAGCAAGAGACGCTTTTGGATGTGCATTAAATATGAGTTGGCTTGGGACGTTCCACTGGCTTAAGTGACAGCCGAATTGTTGTTGTAGTTGATACACCTACCTGAGCATCATCTCTCTCTCTGCCTCTCTGCCCTGCTGATCCCCACTTCATCCCCACCATCTGAATCTCATGGATTCCACGCTGCTCTTTTATGGCTCGTAACTGTAGTCGATTAAAATTCCACAAAATTGTTGAATGTTAATCGCTCATTGTTTAAGGGGGCGCACAGAATTAAATTGTTTGCTTTTTTGCGACTTTTTTGACATATAGCAGATGCTTTGGCTGTTGTTGCTGTCGCCTTTCAAGCTGCCGCCGCCAAGAACTGAGTGCATTTTGAGTGTACTCATAGTTTGTGCTGTGCATTGCTGCATTTTTAATTGCATTGCCCCCCACCCACCCCGCCGATGGCAATCAGACAAAGACAAGTTAATTAAAACCCGCAACAGAGTGGGGAAGACTTTGCAGCTCATGGCCTATGGATATACATGGAAAGAGAACACAGCCTGTACTTTCATATAAAATTGTTTTATACAAGGAATCGTTTCACAAAATAAAGACTGAATCTGTGTTGAAAGTTTAACCGCTGCACCAGGTTAGCGTTGTGGAGGGAATGTTAGATGGAGTGTTTCGTGGTTGGGAGAGTTGGGGAGGTCTCAGAATTCGCCGTTTCCATACTGTTTGATCTTGAGCAGGTCGCAGGAGAACTGGAAGAACTGCTCGCACTTGGCTGGCTTCCTGGCGTCCGGATGGAAGGGACCCTTGCCGCCATTGCTCAGATAGGTGCCGCCCTGGCCCTCGATCGAGGGATCGATGGCTGCAAACACCACCGTGCGCGAGCCCCGCTCGGGCGTCTTGAAGAAGAGTTTCTTGAACACGGGCACCGATGTGGTGGCCGAGTGCTCGAACAGATCCGTGTCCACAATGCCCGGATGCACCACATTCACCTGCACATGCGCCTTCTCTGCATCGAGCAGGGTCTGCAGGTGGCGGGTGTAGAGGATCTGGGCCAGTTTTGACTGGCTGTACGCCGCTCCCGGATAGTATTGATGGCTGTGGAGTAGAACAAACGCCAAGTGAGTGGAGAGCCAGCAAATAGGGGCGAATGATTCACTCACTTTCCGTTGATGTCCTTGTAGTTGATGCGTCCAATGAGGTTCACGCAGGAGCTCACATTCACGATCCTCGCATTCTTTCCCGGCTTGCCGGCCGCCTTCAGACGGGGCAGCAGCAGGTGGCTGAGCAGGAAGTGGCCCAGGTAATTTGTGGCAAAGTGCGACTCGTAGCCATCGGCGGTGAGCTTGAAGGGGGCGAACATAATGCCGGCATTGTTCAGCAGCAGATCGATCTTTGTGTACCGCTCCTTGATGCGCTCAGCGAAGGCTTGCACCGATTTCAGATCGCCCACGTCCAGCTGCTCGCATATCAGCTTGCCCTTGGTCTCCTTCAGATCGACTATAGCTCCGACGGCGGCTTCGGCGCTTTTGGGATCGCGAACACCTGCAAATGATATTCAAATCAATGAAATATATATATATGTATATATAATCAATGAAATATTAAATATTTAACTGGTAAACATTTAAGGGCTTTTAATTGAGCTTTTAATTAAAGCTTATTTGTTGTTTTTTTTCCCTATTAAATGTTGAAAAAATACCATATGAAAATTACAAAAATTGTACTTGAAAAACAGAACAAAAATTCGCTTCTCATCGGAAATTAAATGAAATGCGACAAGTAAAGTAACTCTACATGGCAGCTACACACATAAGCGACATCTGGCGACGAAACATGCAAGCATGAGCCATGTATCATGTAGCAAACATGTACCAGGCATGTAGAGAGTATATTTGGGGCCGAACTGAAGTTAACGAACTCTTATCGCCACAACTCCGTCCACTGCGATCCGATCGTGATCGGAGTTGGAAGTTGAAGAAGTAGATAAAGAACTCATGAGCATGGGTCACGTTTTGCCCAGCGGATGGACAAGGCTGGGGGCAGTCGTTCGGTGCGATGGCGATGGGAATTCGATTTCTGTTCTCCTTTGGACTTGGCCATTCCGGGCACGTGCCCCCGGCTGCATTAAATGTTGCCAGAATGTATAATTATCCACTCGGGAAACACTGACTGGTTAATGGTAATGTCCAACACCGGTTCCCGTACCACTGGGCACAAAGATCGCGAATGGTAAACTTACCCATGACGACAGTCATGTCGCAGGCCAGCAGCTTCTCCACAATCCGCAGTCCAATGCCGCGGTTGCCTCCAGTGATGACAGCGATGCGGTCGGGCTGCTTATAAAGTGCTTTAATGGATAATGTTCACAATTAATTTCAGTCCGATAAGCATCTTAATCTTTGGAGTATTCAATGTCCACTGGCTTACCCACACGATCCCGCGCCGCATAGTGTGCGTCGTGGATGAGGCCCACAATGCCCAAGTACTGATACCGGAACTCCGTCTTCCACTCGAACCATGACTTGGGGAACTCCTTGGTCGTCTTCGAGAAGAGGAAACCACACACCAGCAGCCCCACGAAGAAGAGCCAAAACAATGCGACCAGCATGATGCCTAGGGGAGAGAGATTCCAGATAAGGATTGGAAGAGCTACGTCTTGCGGGCAAAGGTCGTGGCGGCGCTGATAAGGGGAACAGAACTAAGTTTGGGTTGTCACACGGCCGATTTGCCATTAGCCAGTGCCATTACTGGGGCAATTATCAATATTGACGAGTCAATTCGTCTCGAGTGCACTTTGCGACACTCTTAACCTGAGTCAGCAACAATTTCATGAGCCACACAGCAAGGGAAGGGTATACGTATGTGGTCTGAGTGAGTTGAGAGTTGGTTTTATTGTGAGCATATGGACAAGTGACCCACAAATGATATTCTGCTGATATGTGCCCTATTTCAAGCCATACTATCTGGTATCTTGGAGCTGTTTTTGAGTTAATATTGAATCGATGGAGCCAGAGTATTCAACCATCTTTGTGGCTCTCTTGCTGCTCTTCCACCTGAGATTCGTCGTGTGTGTGTTTGCCTAACAATTGAGCTCGATTGTTAGTTCTGTATATCAATGGAGCCCGACACATTGCATCATTATAACTAAGTAAGTGTATAGTACATACATATGTGTATGTACATTGTACATCTATTTGAATATTTACGATGCAAGTTGCCCTCTGACTGCAGTTGGGCGCAGGCGTAATTGTTTAGCCAGCTGCGAGAGCTATTAAATTAATTAGTCACAGCTAGAAAGATACTAAATATTTAGTCGTTATGTCCGGAGACTTTGTCGCAGGTAGAGAGGACCGAACTGTCTCTGCCCGTCTGTCTGTCTGTCTGTCTGTGAGTTTGAGTGTGTGTGAATGCTCGTTAAATGCAAATTAAAATGCCAAACAGCGGTAACAGAAAACAACAAAGAATGAAAGTTGAAGAACCAGAGCTAGAGATAGCCAACCAATGATCGGGGCCAAAAGAGTGACTACTCGTATGGGGCCAGAGCCAAAAAAAAAAAGAAGATTGAAGCGCTAAGCAGAAGTGGTGGGGGGGGAGAGGGGCCCAGGCCCAGCGACCTGTCTACGTATGACTCTGACTGACTCTCTACGAACGTGCGCCTCGTCTCTTTTTGACTTCTGTCAACAAAACGCAAAAGCTTAGCAGTTTTATTGTTGCAACTTGGATGGTTAACTTTCTATTTCCATGACTGCGGTTCGTGTCCCCCTGCCCTTGGCGGTTCACGTAGCGTCTTCTATGTCGAAACAAAAGGAAATGCACTTGCCTTTGCCTCTGTGAATACCGAAACGTGTCTATGCTAATATTGACACCCTTTTATTCAATTAAAGGTTGGGTTTGGCTGCCTTGAAGATTTCAATTTCTATCTCACGATTTCGAGAACCGGTTTCCGCACTGGCCCTTGGGAGTCACAACCGCACCGCGAGAAATTCAAAAGCGAACTGTAAGCTTTAAATGCGCGCCTTTCCGTATAGAACTTGATTCGTCTTGTCACTATTTTTTTTTTGTGGGTTCAGCCAGCAGGTGCATACGTAGGTGCCGGCTGACCTGGGGCCCGCAGAACAGCTGATGACATGCTTTGATACGGGTGCGCGCTGGCACCTGGTTGAAGCTCCAATGCACTCACCTTAACAAATACTCGGCCAAGGCACTTAACTTTAAGTTTAATTGAAAAAACTGCCAAAAAGCGTATTTTTGGTAGAGACAGTGTGGCCGCGGATTTATATCTAAAATATACCACCTTGAACCTCAGAAATATACAGTAAATATACTAAATATTTCGAAAAGTATGTATAGTACCGTAAACGGTCACACCTGTTGCATCTTCGTGCTCGCTGGTGATGGAAGTTCTTCGATAGTCATTTATATTATGTATATAAAAAAGTCGTTACTTTTGCTAGCTGTTTTGAATTTATTTATTGAACGGAAATCGTTTACGGTGCATTTAAAGTGTAACGGAAAAGATATTATTACAATTTAGGTTATAATACATCGATACCAGCTATTAACTAATTTTGTCTTTATATATGTAAGTAGTTGTGTTTACATTTAGTAAGAACGAAACGGAAGCTGAAGCTAAGTAAAAATCGAAATCTAAATATATGTTTCGTACAAGTGTAATTTTTTGATTTGATTAAGTTTCGGTTAACTCATACGATTGGGGTTTTAAGATATAGTGTGTGTGTGTGCCAGTGTGTATGGGTGTTCAGGGTGTATTCATATATTATTCAATTGATTCGTGTATTGTGTATTGTGTGGGGGTGTCTTCTGTCTAGGTGCTTACTAAAAGAATATAATATTACTGTGTGGAAAGGATTTAAAATTTAAAATCGGAACTCTAAGTTGCAGCTGCTGTGTCGGGGTCCTTCTCTGTCTCCTCGGTACTTGCAGCGACAGCCTTAGGCTCCTTTAACCGTCAATTCTCCACGGACATGTTGCCGATGTCGTCGTTGATGGACAGCACCTGGCCGATAAAGTTCTGATCGGTGACCACCTCGGCCAGGGCCTTGCACAGCTCCGTGAGCTCCTGCAACGGCATCTTCAGCTGCGGTGCCAGCTTCCCCAAATGGTGGCTAATGGTGTCTGGCAGCTGTGGGAGATTGGACATTGGAATGAGGGCTTCCATAATGCATTCGGTCTGACGGTACGTACCTTGCCTTTGCCCACTTTGAAGCCGCTGAACATGAGCTTCGTCCGCACGCGCTGCTCGTTGGGTCCGTCGTAGAAGATGGTCAGATACGACTCCTGCACATTGGCCACCAGCGGGAAGTAGAGGCCCGCATACACCTGGCCCTTGGCATCGCGCGAGAGCAGCGACCGGAAGTTGTACACCAGATTGCGGCGCACGGTCACATCGATGGCCGTGATGTACTCCTGGGCGACGTAGACCAGCGAGGTCTTGAAGCTGCTCTTCTCGCCGCGTATCTCGCGCTCCTTCCACTCCACAAACTTGCCGCTGTGCTGGCTGTACGCGTAGCAGTAGTCCCGCTGCAGATGCGGCTCCTTCGACTGAGTGAACCAGCCTGGAAAGGAAGAAACTTAGTGATCTGCAGTGCTGCATCTCTGTAGGTTAGACTAACCGGTGTGTGGATAGCTCTGGTCCTGCATTACGGTGATCGCACGGCTCACGTGGTATCCCGGATCGAGAATCATGACGCCCCGACGCTCGCCAATGGCTATGCGCATGGCCACCATGACGTGCTCCTTCTCCACGGCCGCATCGGCCGAGTTCAGGCCGTACTCCTCGTCCAACTGGACGTAATCGTTGCAGTCCATCACCTGCTCCTCGCAGGACACCACATACAAGTACTGCGCCAGCACCGGGAACATCTGCACCATCCTGGCCATGATCTCAAAGGCCAGCGAGACGCACATGTGGTGCCGTCGATTGATGGGCACGTCGTAGAACTGGAAGAAGCTGCGCAGGTCCGAGCGACGGGTGCGCTTGAAGCTGCGGTAGAAGTCCACAAATAGGTTGACCGTGTTGTAGTGCGTCTCCTCCAGCATGCGCTGCAGCGTGGTCTCCACAATTCCGTTGAGCTCCTCGTACTGCCACACGTTGTCGAAGATCAGGGTCCCCTTGCTGGCCTCGCCCTCGCCGTCGCCGCTGGCCCAGTCGGGCAGTGGCAGCGGATGACCCAAGGGCCACACTCCGTTGATCTGGTTGAAGGCGCTCAGGTCGTAGCCGTCGGCGACGGCCCAATCTGAGCCGCCGAGCGAGTGCTGGTCCTCCGGGAGGAACGGTTGCTGTCTGGCAAGCAGCTGCCGGATGTCGGAGTAGCGCTCCGATCCATCCACCGATGTCAGGTCGGCGGTTGGCAGCCACTGTAGCACCTCGTCATCCTCGTAATCGTCCTCACTCGAGGTGGAGGGCGTTCGACGGACCGTGCCAGTGCCTCTTGCCGTCCCCGATTGATCATGTGCGAAGGACGACTTCGTAGTCAGTCCCATTCCACGCACCGCATCCGCCAGCCGCTGGTCTTCCTCCTGCTGGGAGTCAGAATCCGTGCCAGCGCAGGCGGCGGCACCCTCCTCGGCAGCATCGACATCCCCATCGACGGGTATCGATGCTGCTCCATCCTTGCCGTGGGCAGCGGCGAGTCAACTTGGCCACTCGGAGCCCCAGCGGCCCACGGTGGGCACGTAGCCACTTTCACAGTCATTGAATGTTGCTTCTAGTTGAATGTTGGCGACTTGTCGCGTTGCGTTGGCGCTCGGATTCAAAGGTTCGGTCGCCTGGATGGCAGCGATGGTTGCTCCAGCTCCAAGACTGTACAGACTAATCCGGCCCTGCGCTCGGTTGAACAGGAGCTCCGGCTCGTCTCCAAATTTCGTTGTTGGTTGAGACTGATCTGTTAAGGGGCATGGAAATAATAAACGAAATGTGAGTAAAGCAGAGCAAAGACCCTTGACCCGTGGACTTATCGAACGATGCCTGCCTGCCTGCTCTCAGTGTTTCAGCCCACACCTAATCAGCTTTCTCGCAGGTAGATTTCAATGATTCCCGTTGGTGAAACGGGGATCGCAATCTCCATTGACGTAACATGCCCTCGGGGCTACAGTCAGTCTTCAGGGTGCAATAAACAGTTGCCAGACCAATAAATGAAGTGGACGAGTCTCTATGTATGTATGGGTTGGGGCCTTATCAACTCGAGGCAGGATGTGGGCGGGCCGGGGCGGGCGGGGCGGGGTAGTTTAGTATGTCGTTTAAGTGCTGATAACTCACTAAACTAAGTGTGAGCTAGCAGCAAAATTAAACACAAAGAACACTCATGGGGCGGTGCCGGATCGGGCACGGGGCACGGGGCACGTGCCCTGGCCTGGCCTAGTCACATTTGCATCCATGTGAATTTCTGGATGTTTTGGGCACATCGCCCCACCCCACCCCATCTTCGTCATGCGCTAATATCTAGCTTGTTTTTCGGTCGAATTTTTATGATTAGAGAACGAACATTTTGCGTCGTTGATTCTGTGAATTTCTTTGTGTGTAATATGATTCAGTTGCTGGGGGGATTTTTAGTCTGTACTATGTGGCATTGTGATCGTTGCTAAATGTTTTTTACAGCACGCAAAATTGTTGTTAATTTACTGGTGAAATCATGGCCAGGCAATTGTGCGAAGGTCTGGGCTCCTCTTGGCAGCCTCACAAGATCTGAGAATTCTATTTTGTAGGCATGTGCAGCCAGACACTTGACTAGCTAATTAGGGCTACTTACTACTAGAATTTGCCACAGTTTTCCTTTATTTAATTTATTGAATCAATTTACTTACCCATACAATGGCCTAAAGCCCAATGAACAAGATTGTGGTTTTCCTTTGTTAGATGTTCCCTCGAACAAACTCTGGTATCACGCGGCGCTGCTTCGGCTTCAGTGGCTTTTGCGGCTCCAATTGGCTCTGGGCAACTGTTGCGCTCTGGGGCAGGCCTCAAACGTTTGGGAAATGTAACAAAACAAGGGGGTAACACGAACTAAAGGCAAACAACTTGCTGTTGTTTGATTTGTTTGCTGTCTTTGAGTTTTCTGTTTCTGTTTCTGTTTCTGTTTGTTTGCTTTTTGTTTTGATCTCTCTCTCTGTCTCTGGTTTTGATTTATAGCTGTTGCCTTTTTGCCTGTTCAATGCAGGTCCGAGTTTTTTAACGATATTGGCGAATTAATCGACATCGAAGTGGATTTTATTCAACACGTTTTATGCTTGACCTGGTCCACAGACACTAGTATGTATACATATGTACGTATACGTATCTTGCCTTTGGTTATAATATGCACTTGCACTTGGCTATTTTCGTAGCTGATTTTGCTTTCCGAGCGACTCGACTGCTGTTCCGTTGGCGCTGAGATGCGAAAACCGAATGAGAGTCGAGGGCGGCCCTGCTTATATATATAAAAAAAAATCCGATCGCAATTGTTATTGTTGCCCCGATTTGACTACGAAGTGTGTGGAGGTAAACGGTAAACGTTAGCGTCGCCCGAGCAGAGCAGAGCAGAGCAGCGACTGCAGCTGACCCTGTTACTGTTGTTGCTATGTTGCTGTTATTGCCGCGGTATTTGTTTGTTTTTTTGTTTATTGGCGACAACAAAATATTTCAATTTATGACGCAAAAAAAGCTTAAAAATTCCACAAACCCTGGGCCCCGATAAGGGGAACGCGACTTATGTTTTGCTCCGTAACTTCGTGTTCGAGTTGTATTTGTTTGTGGGGCGATTATAATTGTTTTTACACGACAATTTGGGGCTAGACGCGTGTTGGGATAGGATCTGGGACCACCTTTGTGGTGGGGCAACGCTGGGCTCCTTTCCTTCTGCAAAGAGAAAAGTGAAAGATGAAAAATGAATTATGGCAAAAAAGATCATCAAATAAAATCATCGTACAGCGCTGAATCATCTAATTAAATGAAACTGTTTACTATGATTTCAGCAGCTCTTATCTAAATCCCAGTCAACGCTTGTTTATGCTCCTCCAGTTTATTTATATAGCTCACGTTGTGTCACCCACCGCCCTACCCCCCTCGTATTTTATAACTCGTTGAGTGGAAAATTTGCCATTCCATGGGTCGTGTGTGTAACCCTTGGCAATGGTAAATCTGATTGGACGCCCTTCCTCAGGCACGGAAGATGGCATTACATTGATTATGGCATGCCAGAGTGGGTGGCATACACCTATTGTAATGCGCATTAGCAACGCCCGCTGGCAGCCAGTGGAGCGGTGGCAACGTGAGCACCTTGAGAGGCAACAAGTTATAGCAAGGGAAGCCTGTGCTGGCGCAAGGATTTGCCCCACGTAATAGGTCCCTTGATTCGCACAGCCACAGCCGCAGCCAACATGTAATTAGTGTCACGAACTAATTGGCAAATAGGGCGCCAACTGCCCATCCATTTAGACATATGTATATATATATGTATATATATTTATACTTGTTATATATTCTTAGGCCTAGATCACATTTGGTCGAGGCCAGGGCCCCACCAGATACATAGAACAATGACCAGCAGCCTTTGCACTCTTGTTTACAGTCTGCCATGCCATGTACTCCCGCTCGTAGGCCCCATTTTTATATATGTATGTACTTATTTGTGTACATAGCTGCCATATAGTTGAGATTTTAATTTTTGCGCCGTAATGCAATTTTTCTGGTGTTTGCCGAGATGTAAAAATGTAGACAAACATTTCTTGTGATGGTGCAATTTGATGGCGAGCATTTTGCACTGTCCAAGGTCAGGCGTTGGATCCCACTCGTAACTACGAGTATATTTGCATAAGCCGCAAGTAATCGAAACAGTAGTAGAGTACTCGCGGAGTCGGTGCTGCCTTGCTTAATTTGGAAACAAAACAACAAAGAGATAAACTCCGCAAAGTGACAACTATTAGGAGGGCAGCAGCAGCTTATGCATAGACAAACCCCATTAAATATGTTTTTATTAATTAATTACTGCACACGATGCGTAAAAGGAGCTCAGGGCTGTCTTGGGGGTGACATTTATGTGTCGAGCAGAAGTTGCTGCTGCACAAAACGGAAGCCAAAGATGAAAGGTCGCGCAACCAGTGGCAAATTAGCTTCGCATTCCGCATTGACGTCAGAGTGAAATGGGAGCAACAGAAACGGAAACCTTGGCTGTGATGGAATTGGCTTATCCCAGTTTCCCGAACGGCGATTCTTCCATCGAAACTAGTTCAATGTCGCCAAATGTGGCCTGACGTCATTGTACAGACCTGTGGCCCATTCCGCTGACTCAGCCTCAAGCCGGCCGGCACCTGGGATGGGTGTCGGGGCGGGTTTGGAGGTCAGGTTGCCCCTCCCCTTTGACCCGGCCCATTCCAGTCCAGTGGCTGACTCAGGCCACGTGTCATATGTAGACTGTCTCGTGTCTGTGAATTTGTAAACAAATTCGTATCCGTGGCTACGTGGATGGGCCTTTGAAAATCAAAACAACAGAAGACCGAAGCGCAGACGCTGGAAATCTCCGGAATTTTCCAGAAGGAAATGGCAATGACTTTTGGCCAAACATATGTGCTTTGGCATAGAAACAATGTGCAACGGTTCTCACTGTATAACTGGACAGCCCATTAAATATTGAAATCCCCTTAGTACATGTCCTACTTTTTGAAAATAAAACTCGTTCCAATGCACCCTTTTGTAGCACAGCAGTGTAAGAATCGCCCGCAGACAAAGAATGCCAACGGTTCGTTACACTGAAGGTCAATTAATTGGGCACGCTCCAACGTTCACAGTGTGAGGTATACTTCTGGGTATTTTTCTATTCTACTCTTGCTCAGACTATTGTAACAGATCGACATCTGTTACTTCTCCAATATTAATTAATGAATTAGTAAAATATAAACCACAATTGCCACTATAATGGGATGACACTGTATGTATTGGGGGTCCTGCTTTTGCGCACTTTTATCGAATCCGCTTATTTCTTTGTTGTCTGTTCGGGTCGCATCTGGCAGGTGTTGCCTTGGCAACGCAAATTGGCCCAGTCCAGTCGTAAAATCGATAGAGTAACTTCACAGAAAGTACTTTATTGTGGGGATTACTTACCGTTTTGATTGGTTCTCGAAGGCGAACAGAACAACACTCGCACGAACACACGCAAAATTCAATCGCCGCCTGCCGGTCGTTGGTCAGGGGGAGAGGTCGAGTCGAAAGTCCACCGCCTTACAGCTTTTTACTCCAATTGTAGGAACCGTTGTAGTAAAATAAAATCAATATAATCATTTTAGTGTGCATGTGCATATTGAGGACAGTCATTGCACAACAGTAAGGCACGATTGCACTTTCCGCAAAGGATTCTTGTTGTGGTCTTTCAACCAATTTGATGACGAAACTCGGATAAATTAGTTTTTATGCCTTCTCTTGCGTTTGTGTGGCATTTAAGGTGCGGCGACAGAATGCGAACTCCGCGAAACGAAGAATTCTAGAACTCGAGGGACTTCCGGGCAAATATATAAATATATCCCTTCAATTATTTCCTTGAGAGCAAGGATGTCCGCACGATAAGTTGGAATCGGATCTATCGATAAAATATACCATATATACCACTAAATGGCTGAAATATACTACATTATATGCGGATATACCGTAAATACACTTTCAACGCGACTTGCATACCATCAATATACCAGAAAATATACTAGTACTATGTGGCACAAGGCGCGCCATTTGAAATTGATCAGCCTTGTGTAATTTGTCAGTTGAATTTGAATACATTCTGAAATCCAAAAATATGTGGTGCATGCAAACATGTTAATGCGAAGTCGGAGTCACAGCAACGTCAGAGTTCCACTAATGGTAATGGTAATGATTGTGTCAGGCCTGCACCAAGTGTGTGGCACTGACGGACGAACTGGTGGCAATGAAGCTTCTTTGATCTTGCAAAAGCTGCGGCGAGATCAAGATGACTGGCTTGCCTCGCCGCCGTTTAATGTCAGAAAACCAGTAGAGAGGACCGAGAGCTTGTTCCAGCAGCTCGAGGAATTCGATCGATTAGATGATACGAAAGAATCCGCACCTGCGAAGGACATTGAATCCATCTGGGGCTTCGGTCTCAAATCGAGCCCCGCCCAGAGGTTGGAGGAGAAACCGAAAGAGACGAGGCTGAACTACTTGCTTAACTATTCAAGTGCAAAGGAAGTTCCGATGGGGCCGGCGATGAAGCACGAGAGCGCGCAGCAGCGGGAGCAACTGGAACAGCGTCACCGGCAAATGGAGCACTTCAAGAACGCTGCTGCCGATCTGGCGTTTGAGCGAATGATGAACATGCAGAGAGAACGGACCGAGGGCGCAAAGTCTGTGTTTCTTCCCCTGTTTTCCGCTGCAAAACCTTCTGGGGCAGGACCTCTGGCCAAACCCGTTCCTGCAAAACCCTCAAATGGAAAGTTCCATCCCATGTTTTCCGCTGAAAAACCTCCTGCGGCGTGGCCTTCTCTGGCCAAACCTGTTGCAGCAAAGCACCCAATTGGAAAGATCTTTCCCCTATTTCCCGCAGCAAACCCTTCTGGGGCGAGGCCTTCTTGGGTCAAAACTGTTCCGGCAAAACCCACAAATGGAAAGATGCCCCCGCCTTGGTCGCCAGCGTCGCCCCGTCCAGGCACCTGTCCGGCAACGACTTTTCGGCCACCTACAACAACAAAACCTCGCTTCGGGGACTCCGCCAAGTCTAAGCCTAAGCCCAGCCAACCCCAAAAGGGCCCACCCAAACCGTTGACGCCGCCGTCCAGGGCAAAGTGCAAGCACGGTAAGCAAAAGAAGAAGAAGCCGCAGGTTAGTGCATCCTCAGCAATGCGGCTCGAGCAAATGATCCTGGCCATGAAGCAGCATGCCCTGTCCATCCTCAAGAACCTGAACTACCTGGAAATGGAGGTGCTCAGCCAATCGCCAAACACCTGTTCTCGTCACCAGTCGAAGGGGAAAGGAAATGGCGCCATTCCGAAGAAGAAAACAAAAACCGGCGAGCGGCTGGACAGACCCACACAACCGTCCAGGGCACAGTCGAAGCTTCATCGTGGCTTTTTCTTCGGCATTCGACCGGCGAACGCCAAGGAGAGATTGACAGACTTGGCCGCCGCTCGTGAAGAGGAGCTCAAGCTCAGGGGAAAGGTGTGGCGCGAGCACCTCCAACGACTGATGGCCAGAAAGCGGCCCTTCTTTAAGCCAAAGCGGTACGAGGAAGCCCCAGCCGCAGCCGCTCGTCTAGAGCCCGTAGAACCAAAGTCCGCCGTCGACACGCAACTCAACCTCAAGTCGCTGAGTATGCTGCTGAAGTCGCGACCAACTTCAGCTCCATCACAGTCCGTGGAAGATCCTGCTGGTCGCATGCCAGTGTCCTCTGGAATCAATCCCATCCAGGCCAAGCAGCTGAAGACCACCGAGCACCATCCCACGCGGAGGAGGAAAAAGAAGAAGAAAATGATGTTAGCTCTACGGCCGACTGATAACCAAATGCGAGGTTGAGCAACCTTTATTTAGTTTTGTTTGTTAATAAATATATATTTTTTTTATATTTTATTTAAAATTCACGCCATTTTTTTCGATCAACAAATAGAACGTTAGCTTAGCCCATTGTCGACCAGGGGGAATTTAATTATTATGAAACTTTAAACATTTTAGATGAAAGATATCACGCTCATTTTTATTTTGTGAGTAAAGAAGAGGATAGAGCTATAAGGAGCATTTACAAACAGTATTATTTTCCACGGCTTAATTGAAGGTGTTCGCCTATTTGAATACAGAGGGTTAAGTGCGCTGTCCGTTTTTTCTTCGGTATATTTAGAAAATAATATGGTATATTTTGGTCAGACGGTATATTTGATTGGGCAGGGTCACACTCCACACGCGCCTCTTTTATGAAATTACTTGGAAAAAAAACTTGAAAAGTTCTGGATGGAGTTACTGCAATTGTTTTATATCTATGTGACTATTGGCATTTAAATGTTTTCTAATTCTAAAAACGGTTAAACTTTATATAAAAACCAAACTATTTCCTTTGAAAGTGTATCGGTTATAACACTAGAAAAAGTGAAACGATACGCACATTGTGCCTGACTTCGATTGGGCCCGCACGGGTTTTCTATTAAAATACACATTACATTTATGCAGAATCAAGTGCATATTCAATAAGAACGTTATATTTAGCCAGGAGCTGCATATAATCAACTTAATTTTTATCGTAAGTACGCAGGCAACAAGAAATGCTTGTAGTGTGCGTAAAAAAAAATTGGGGCCAATAACGGAACTTTTTCTCCTCTACGTCTGTGTGTGTTCTACGCAATTTGCGAGGAAAAATGTTAATACACACAAACATATGGATATCTTTTTTCAAATGCCGGATCATGTTCAGTTCAGAATAATAATACTTTATCGGCTTCCATTGAAAATATGAAAACTGCAGCGTCTGCTGATTTCTGGACGCTGTATTCTGCTGCTCCTGCCGCGACGCCATCGTCTGCAAGTGTTTGTGTGTGCGTTCGCGATCCCGCTTCCGTACAGCTGCGGCGATGGGTAGCGTTTCGTTTCTCTTTAACTGTAGTCTCGCATTTTCTCTTATCTCTGTTTCGTTGTTTTTGCATTCTTCGTTCTTAATTGTTGCTGCTCTTTTTATTTGAAAAAAAGTTTATTGCTGCGGGTGGGTGGTGATGGGCGAGCAATGCATTCCAAAGTACTTGAATCATGCTTAAAACTATTCAAATGCTCTCTCTTTTTCTTCTCCGCAGGTCTGCAGAATTGAGCGTCATAATGCCTTCGTGTAAAGAAGAGATATTTGCAGTAGTATCCTCGGAGGTGCGGGCGCTAATCATTAGTGGGCGCAAGCCACCGGTTCCCTTGAACGACGTTCTCAGGGACTATGCCGAGGTCGTGGGAGAGCCACTTCCATTCCGCCGGTTGGGCTATAGCAGCGCCCAGGCGATGCTGGAGGATACCAGGAACTTCAATTTTCAGATTTACGGAAGCACGGTAAACGATTTTTTTTGGGAACCGCACCAACGGGGTATCACCTACTCTTCATAGCCAACTTTGGCCGCTTGGACACTTGCAAACATACACACACACATACACACGCTCTCTCTCTCTCTCTTGATCGGTCAAGTTATACCCTGTATTCGGTAAATCAAATTAAGTTAGATGTTTGTAACTAAAAGAAGGAGGATTCCATTGTCAGATCCATTGAGTATTTATTTCTGTTTACCAGCAATTACAAACAAAAATAGACATGACCAGATCCAATTTTTAAGGAGGTATGCTCCCTCTTTACTTGAGGTACAGGGTATCGGATAGCCTGTATACTTGCCTGCAGATATTTAGCTGGCTTTCTCTCACCAGCAGCCTGCTGAGCTTGCTCTCTCGCTCAGCTTTCTATTGGTGCTGCAAAGCTTTTGCGAGCGCACCCGCCCGCAGTACCTTTCAACGCGTGCCGAAAGCTACAGCTGCCTCTGACTGCTGCTGCTGCCGCTTGTGTCCACGGGGGCCTGCCGCAAAAGGGGCGACGTGTCAACGTCTTCGTGTTCGTGCTCGACTTCGAAAAGTGTAAACAATGGCATTCTACTTAACTTAGTTTATTTATTTAATTGTTCGCCGTAGCGGAGTGCGCGAGGGGCTGTGGCTGTGTGCTTTGCCTTGCGATTTCTATAGTTGCTGATTAAGCGCTTTTGCAAATGCAGCCGCCCCACACCCCTCGAAAAAGTGTAACACGAAAAGTCAAAAATGCCAGCAATTTAAACTTTTATTTTGCTATGCATATCTTTGGCTTTGTGTGTGTGTGGTGAAAGTGAACGAACGACTGCTATCTCTGTCTGTCTGTCCGTCCGTGCATTACACTTGAATTCTAGAAAAGATGCAGATGCAGTTGCAGACTTCTACTTCCGTTGCATGGGGGTGCGTGGGCTGACACTCGCCACTCTACCCCCAACACACGCATTGCACTTCTTTCCGACCAAATCAATAATTCCGAGTGCAACAAAAATGAGAGCATCATTTAGTAAATTAATGCAAAATACCCATTATATATATACACATATATGAATGTATGTATGTATTTACTGACAAGCTTTCTCTGCATATCAACTATATGCAATTTGCCATATCACGTCTGGGGCCCCTACCCTACACACATATTGCTTAATGGAGCGCTCCGACCCTATAAAGACCGAAAGACGATTACAGCAATGAACAACAGCCCGCATTAAATGAATCATTTGGCTGAGCAATCAAAAATCAACATAGGAAGGCTCCGATTTCTAAACCAGACACCGCGGCACTTGGGCTAACACTGAAATCTTGGGAGGGGGAAAAGTAGCTGGAGCTGCAGCAGTTTTATTGGGTTTCAGTTACCCAAACTGGGAGCTCGCCAAGCGGAAACTTCATGGCGAAAGACTTTCCCTAGTCGCAATAATTCGATCTATTTGGAATGCCAGAATAACCATCTTTCTTTGCAGGTCTGCATCACTGCCAAGTACAGCGAGAAATCGGACCACATTGCGTCTATGGTGCGCCAGCAGAAGCCTTCCAAATCCAGAGCCTACTCAAGGCCGACCCCACAGCCAGGAACTTTCAAAAAAGCTGCAACCAACTTCCATCAACAAAGGTATCCGCAGCAGAATTACCAGTGTCAGCTGCATATTCAGCAAAGGAATCAACAGCAGCAGAATAGCCAGTATCAGCAGCATCTTCAGCAAAGGAATCAACAGCAGCAGCAGAATCTTCAGCAAAGGATCCAATTGCAACAGCAGCAGCATAGGAATCAACTACAACAGCAGCAGCAGCAGCAAAAGAATCTAGTACAACAGCAACTGCAAAGGAATCAACAGCAACAGCAGCAGCAAAAGAATCAACCGCAACTGCAGCAGCAGCAAAAACTTCAACAACAGCAAACCTGGGAGGTAGAGCAGCAGAAGCAAAAGTTGCTGATTCAGAAGCTGCAGGAGGAGATTAATTCTTGTCGCAAGCAGACAGGGGAGCAGCTTCGCCAGCTGAAAGAGATCAAGGAGCAGGACGAGAAGAAACTCAAGGAGCAGGAACAGGTCATAAAGAAGCTGGAGAAAGATCGAGAGCATTTCAAACAGAAGGCCGAGGCCAAAGCGCTTCTCGACAAAAAGCAGGAGAACGTCGCTCCGAAAATCGAAAATTCTGGACACAAAACGCCCAGCACGCCGCTTCTGGTCAAAGATAACAAGCAGCATCAGGAAGAGGACAAGGATACCAAAAAAATCAAAGAACTGGACAAAGTCGCAGCGAAAATCGGAATCGGAAATTTAAGACCAAGCAACAAGCAGGTGCTGGCCAAAGACAAGCAGCACCGTTCGAAAGAAGACTTGCACGTTGAACGCGCTAATATTTGCGACATGAATGGCCATAGCACTAGCAACGGTCATGGCAGGGCCATGGCGGGGAAGCCTCCTCAACGGCCCATACTGGGCAACGGTGCCCCGCATCGTGGAGGTGGACCAGGGGCTGCGTTTGATACGTCCAAAAATCGCGGACTGCAGCAGCGAACCTCTGTGAACGATAGACTGAAGCAACAACAACAGCAGCAGCAGCCAGCAGCAAATCAACCGAAACTACCAGCGACTGCCCCAGCGCTGATGACTCCTCCTGATACGCCAGAAGTTCCCTCGAAAAAGGCCAATCAGAGAGCATTGCGGACACCTGCGAAATCGCAGGATACGCCCAAGTTCGAGTTCAAATCGGATGCGGCCCAAGATCCCATGGCCGCGTTGAAGGCGTACTGCGAGTTCAAAGAATTGGAGGAGCCCTCGTACCGCATCTTCAACAGTCGGCCCCATCTGAACTGCTCGGTGAGGGTCGGCGCCTTTGTCTACAGCTGCTATCCCAAGGAGTTTGCTGACGAGTCGACGGCCTACAGGGAGACTGCCTGGATCGCCATTCAAAAGATTACGGAGGCAGAGTCGCGCCAACCGCTCACCATTTGCACCCTGACGGATCACGAGTTCATTGACGGCCTGTACCAGGAGCTGCGGCAGTATCCCAACGGCATAATGGGCCACAAGCTTGAGGAGTGGTATGAACGGACCTTCCACCACCACCTGCCCAGCCACTGGCACGATCTGGTTGTGGAGTCGAGCAAGATCCGCATGGAGCATACCGTCTCGTCCCTCATTCTGTTGGCCAATGATCCCGCCTCTCCGAAGCCGAGGAGAGCAACAGTCCAGCGGCCCGAAATGCCCGAGCTTCGGCTGCCGTGGATGAGCGAGGCGGACCACAGCTTGGAGCGACACCACGACTGGAGCATGTACATCACGCATTGCGACTCCACCAAACTGGTCTGGGCCCGCCTAATCGATCAGATATCCAGCCTAGAGGCGCTGTCGGTGAACCTGAACAGGCACGTGGCGGTGCGTACACCGATTACGGAGCCCCACGAGCAGGATATGTATCTGGTGGAAGTCACCGAGGGCTGGAGTCGTGTGCGAGTGCTCTCCGTGGACGCGAAGCAGCGAACCTGCCGCTGCCACTTTGTCGACTTTGGGGACGTGGCCTCGTTTGAGTTTGAAGATCTGGTCGTGTGTCCGGCCCAGTTCCTGGTGCTGCCCGCACAGGCCATCTGCCTGGGCATGTATGCGCTGGAAAAGTTGGCGGATCACCCGCACGCCCAGGCCGTGCTCCTTAAAGAGCTCGCCGGCCAGCGGGTGGTGGCTCGCATCCTCACCACCGAGAAGCAGTTCATCGACTTGGGCGGCTGTGCCCAGGGCGTTTGGCAGGATGGCATGCGAAGCGCCTGCCTGGTGGGCACTCTGTACGACACCTCCACGGCGGACGACATTCACCTCAACGATCTAGTGGCCAACGAGATCAACCGCAACACGCCGGCGCCCATACTGAGTCCGGACCAGAAGTCCAATCCGGTGCTCATCTCCCACATCAACGATGGCGGCGACCTCACTGTGCTGCTCCGCAACGAGGATCTAAGGTTTGTGGAGCGCAGCATTGCCACCACAGTGGCTGACATCGGGGAGCAGCATCGCGTCACCCACTTGGACCTGCTGCACGATCGCCTGGTGTTTGTCTGCGACGAGTCAGTCGATGGCCTGAAGCAGTGGTACCGAGGCATGCTCACCGCCAAGCCAAAGAATGCCGATGAGGAGACCTTCGATGTTTACTACGTCGACGACGGACGCCTGCGCAAGACGCACATTTCGAACATCTATCGACTGGAGGCCAACAATCTGGCGCTGGCCGGCTATCCGCCGCTGGCGCTGCGCGTCCGCCTCCACGACGTTCCCGATATCGTGGGAGACATGCTTGGGCGCCTTCGCGGACTGATGCCGCCCCGCAGCGAGGCTATCGTGAGTGTCCTATGCCCCCCAACCCACTAATTAAATAAGAATATTTACTAAATAATTTGCATGCATTCACAGGTCAAGGTGATGGAGGGTGCGAGCAGTGACCAGCTGCCGATGGTCAACGTTTACGTGCGCGGCCAGGATGCCAATGCCATGTACATGTGCGTGAACAGCGCCATCCAGATGGAGTTTGAAATGCAGAGGTGAGTGCCCTCCGTGCTTTTAGCTCTGCATTACGATCACCATACTCATGCTCCCACACTCACTGGCACACACCAACCACCACCCACCCACTAATTGGAATCAAGCTCCCCATAACCATAACCATATACCATATCTGATCTCTTCTCCCCCATGTTCATCCCCAAAATAATGCATTCTCTATTAGTGCTTTCGATAAACTGGAAATGAAATGATACGCTATCGCTAACCCCCACCATTCACGATCAACGTCAATAATAAATAAATAAATGTTCAGCAAATAAACTTCGATATTGTAAGATAACTAAACTCTAAGAGCTCCATTCGCATCTCTGTATATAAAACCAAAAAATATATACTCGTATTCGTACTCGTATGCGTACCACTAAGAAAACAAAAACATCACAATAATTAAGCTGCTGCTGCGTAACAACTACCCGATAAGTCCTCGACCGTTTCTCATACCTAATCCTCAATACTGTCCCACACCGCCACTTCCTCCACCTTCCCCGTCGTCCTGCCCACACAGAAGCACGCGTCCGCAGACCTACGACGATGGCGGTCTGCGCTTCAATCCCAATGGACAGCTGCAGCGACGCAACAGCTTCGGCTCTGTGGTGTCCAGCCACAGCAGCGGCAGTCTCAGCTTCAGCGATCATGTCCTTCCCGTCACCCCACCAGTGACGCCCTTGCGAGTGTCGTCGTCGCCCACAATCAAAGAGTACGAGGCCATACCGGCTGTGGGCGCCTACTTCGAGGTGCGCATTGGCCTCTCCATCAATCCCGGACACTTTGCGGTGAGTCGAACCCAGGCGATCAATGCCATCCATAATTAACTCTGCTCTAAAACTCTGTTCCAGGTGCAACCCTACAAGTGCTACAATCAGTTGCAGCACTTGATGAAGGATCTGCAGGCACATTGCAAGGGAGCGACGGCACAGGGCGTGCAATCTTCCCTATTGGCCATAGGAGAGGCATATGCTGCTCCAGACAGCGATGGCATCTACCATCGGTAAGACAGGGGAGATCAGGGAGATCAGACAGACCAGACCAGAACAGTAGCTAACAGCCAATCCTCCTCTTGCAGTGTTATTATTCGCAAGATTTACGACGAGATTATACATGTGCGCTTCGTGGACGTGGGCGACGACGGTGTGGTGGCCTGTGATCAACTGAAGAAGCTTCCGCCGGCCTTGGCCGAGCTGCCCAGGATGGCCATACCAGCTCAATTATATGGTGGGTCTGGGTCGTCGCTATCGATTATCGTAACTTAACCAATGATATAACTGTGCCATCCCACTGTCATCCCCATCAGGCATCCAACTGGCAGACGTTCTCTGGACTCAGGAGAACTGTGTGCGCTTCAGGAAGCTAACGCTGGGTCAAAAGTTTATCGGGATGGTGCGGCGTCTGAGCAGGTTGAAGGATGACACGCGAGTGCTGTGCCTGGAGCTGATCGACGTCTCCACGCCGCAGGACATAAAGCTGCACGAGATTCTCATCAGCGAGAAGCACGCGCAGCCAGAGTCGTAGGTCAGAAATGGAAGAAAAATCGAAGACGAACCGAAGAACGATTTTAATTTGAGTTTGAACTTGTTCACGTTTATGTTTGCTTAATTGTAGCCTTAGGATTAGGTGTAATTAATGCATAATTTATTAAGACGATACATTCCCCGACACGGGAACGGTTACTCTGTACTGCTCGGAAACGCAACAAAATATACAAATTATGATTTTAGCTACTTCCGTTCGACGTCTATCGGGAGAAGGGATGCACTTGGTTGGCCGCCTTGATGTTGGTCTTCACGGCCGATGGGGCCTTGCCCAGCTGCTGCTGCACGTTGCCGGGACTCATGGCAGGACCGCCCATGGGCGAGGAGGCGCGAATCGAGGGTGGGACCATCATGCCAGGTCCAGGGCCGTAGTTGGTCATCTTCAGACCCTTGCCCATGCCCACCGCTGCCACGAGGAGCTGGGTGTCGGCCATACTGCTGGTCTGTTGGATGCCGGTGCGCGAGGAGGACTCGATCTCCCACTCCTCGCGCGCCTTGCTGACCATGTCCAGGACGTGAGAGACAACCTTGTTGTACTGGGTGACCTGCTTCATGGCCGCATCGTTGGTGAGATTGGCGGCTTTCTGTTCGTTCGCCTGCATCTTCTGCTCGGTGAGAGGATCGGGACGCGTTCGCAGATAGTCGGGCACAATGTCGTGCGAGAAGACCGGCACGCGTCCCTCGGTGATGCCTATTAACGTCTCGTCGCGATCCATGGACACCAGTAGCGGCAGGACTGTGCGGTTCCTTAGCGGTGGACACTGCTCCTTGGCCAGGATTTTCGTTAGTCCCGTCAAATGGCTGGAAATTATGGCGAAATTGTCCAGAAACGTTGGCCAGTTGATTGTCTCGAATTCCATCTCCAGTTTCTGGATCATGGCCAGCACCGCCAGCTTCAAGTCGTTCAGGCGCTGCAGGACGGCGTCCAGCGTCATCTCAAAGTGCTTTTCCTCGCGCTGCATTTTCGTTTTTTATATTAAATTTTTTGAATTGCAAAAATTATTTTTAATAAAACACCCGCCAGTGCGACCATGCGCAGATGAAAACAGCTGTTGAATTAAATACCATATCTGGTATTTTCCTAGTGCACTCTGGGTATTTTCGCTCTTGCGGCATACGGTCTGACAAACATGGCCGTCGTGTTGCTGCTGTGAAAGAAAAACTGAACGCCGTGTTTTTTCATTTGCAACCAAAACCACACGAGAACTCTTTAAGCGTGCACGCAAAACGTATCAAAATGTAAGCAATCTAGTCTAGTGACTGTTACTATCGTTTTACACAATCGCTAATGCCTACAAACGGTAATACGCAACGGGATAAATTACTTTTGCCGTCGTCGTTGGGTGTCTCACACTCGCTGTCTCGCTCACACTCGTTCGCTGTTGCTGACAAAGCAAATACATACGTGACGGGGCGTGTATATGTGTGTGCTGTTTGTGTGTTCAAGCTGGCCAGAAGCTGAAAAGTGAAAATTTGTGTGTATGCGTGGATGACACGATCAAAAGCCGGTCGGTGCTCCCGATCCTCGAGCACTCTCGATCCTGCTCCTACTCTTGCGCCGAACTGTATAATAACTCGCCCCACATGCATACGTCGTCCTACGCCCCCGCTGGCCATGCGCTTGGCCCGACGCGACGCGGCATGGGCTGAAGTTGATCGCGTATCGTCCCCTCCCCGCGATCGCAGACTCTCCGGAAAGTGTACGGAATGCGGGAATACTGGAATACGTGAATTCGAATTCTCTGCGTTTTCAGCCCAGCTCAGCCATCTGGAAGCTGACCCACCCCACGCCGCGCAAGCGTTCGTGTTCGTGCCCACACACCGGTCGTGTTTTTGTACTCTCTCTCTCTTGCTGTTTCTCTCTTCTTTCTCTACCTCATTGTTGATATTGTTGTTGTTGTACGCCATTTCTAATGCCTCTCTTTCATGTTTTTTTAATACAAATTGTAATATATTTGCAGCTTTTTGTGTATGTTTTCTGAATAAGTATCATGCCAAAATGAAATGGTAAAGTGTTGCCGCGTTCGCATAACCGATTACGAATAAAATACATATACATATATACTCTATACCTATCAACATATATACGTGCGCGATTGTTGATAGAAAAGAAAAGAGAGCTAGAGCGATATCGATATCGAAGCGATTCAGCCCGCGATGGCGTCGCGCAGGCGCGCCGATTTGAATCCCAAACTGCACATGGACAGGCAGCCGACAGCTGCCCGCATAACAGGTACCTCCCAAACCAAATAATCACAGATAGAGAGTCTTGGTAATCCGGGGGAAGTGTTATCCCTCTCTGTTATGATGTGGCCCTAAAACGGCGCCATAAAGAAGGGATGCGACTCTCACTAAAGCCGACGGATCGAGTACACCTCGCGAAAACTGGATTTCTAACCGCCTGCCCTTGCACCATTACAGATCCCTCTCTGCCTGCCGGCAAGCGACGCGAGATCGACAACGTCATGAAGAAGGCTCGGGCCAACACCACCAACGACTACTGGGACAAGAAGCTGATCGAGGCCGAGGAGAAGGACCCCAATCGCTGGCGTCATACCGGCTACAAGAAAATGTACATCCAGGGCGAGAGCAGCTCCGGGGACAGTGATCGCGAGCCGCATGGCGTGCCCCGTCCCGGGGAGGGAGCACCACCACCCTATGGCCGCTATCCGCCCGGAGGTGGCCCTCCAGGTCCACCGCCGCGCTTTGGCCGATCCCGCTCGCCCCATTCACGCAGTCGTTCCGGCCTGCGAAAGTCGCCGCCGTTGTCGCCCCCACCGCGTCGTCGGTCTCCGCCGCCGCCCATGCACGGCATGGATCGTCGCGGCGGTCCGCGATCCCCTCCCATGCCGCGCTCTCCGAACGATGCCATGATGCGTCGTCCCGGCAATGGCCACGGTCGGCCCCGATCCCCGCCCGAACCGAGCTCCGGCTCCTCGTCCTTGCGCCGCAAGCCAAACGCGTCGCGTTCCCCCTTGGGCCGCCGTCGCTCGCCACCGTTGCCCCCTCCATCGTCGGCGGGACTGGACAAGCGCGGTGCGGGACACATTCTACCGCGTTCTAAGCGTCCCCCGTCGCCACCGCCAAGGGTAAGTCATGTCCTCCACCAATTTTCCCGATCCCAGTCATTAATCTGTATCCATTCTGCAGCACTCGATGCGTTCGCGTTCCAACAGCTCAATGAGCAGCAGCTCCGACGATTCGTGCTCCCTCTGCTCGCCCAGTCATCGCCATAGATCTCGGTAAGCAATCCGCCTGACCTTGTGCTTCCATTGATACTGATTGCCCATTGATTCTTCCCCAAACAGATCCCGTGGTCCGCGTTCCCCTCCGCCAAAGCCGCGTGGCCATTATCGTGCCGGAGGTCCGCCTATCCCGCCGCCGGATGCACATGGCCGCGTCCATGGTCGTCCCAGCAGTCCACCGCCGGTGCGTGGAGGCGTAAGCGGTTCGGTATCCGCCATCGACAAGTATCGGGACGCCAAAATGCGTCACCTCGCACACGAACGCGGCGCCACGTCGGAGGCGCACATGAAAGTCGCTCGCTCGTCGCGTCACTCTCCGCCGCCGGAAGATCCGCGTCTCAAGCACCGTCCGCCAGAGCCACCAGAGCCGGCAGCAACGGCTGCTGCGGCCTCCACAGCTCCGCAGGCCAAGAAGAAGAAAAAGGAGAAGGAGGTGAGTGTCGGAGTAGCCCCTACAAATACAAATCACGATTCCAATCATTGAATCATTCCCTCTGTTCACAGCAGGTGAGGCCACGCATCAAGATCGAGGGTGAGAAACGTAAAAAGCCAGGGGCGCCCAGTGGCAGTGGAGCGAATGCAAACTCCTCGTCCGGCTCGGACGATTCGGGTGACTCGGACAGCGATGAGGTGCCCTCGCTGCCGACGTTTTCGGCCACGACGCGGCTGACGCTATCGGAGCGCTTCGGGAAAATGGCGCAGTGGAGCATCGATCGCAGTAACATGGAGAATATGCGCATCACCAAAGATTCCGCGGGTGGTGCCCTCAAAGTGATGATCGAGGAGGGTCTCGAATCGCCGCCGCGTCGCTATTCGTATTCGCCGGCGCCGGCCGGACATTTTCCGGAGGAGTTGGCGACCACAGCACCGTCGGGCATGCTGTCGTGGGACGATGTGCGCGTCCGTTACGAGTACTACAAGAGTCGTGGCTACCTAAGGGACCTTGATCTGAAGGTAAATGTGGTGCATTTCCATACTCCATGAGGCAGAATCTGTATCTGTGCTTTCTCTCTCTTCCGCAGGATTACATCAAGTGGGAGGAATGGTGGTATAAATATCAGGAGTGGCTGAAGCAGGAGCGCTACTATGAGTACTGGGATCGTAGTCAGCAATTGCGACGACGGCGCAAGAAGCTGCCGGTCACTCAGCGTCTCAACTGAGAAACATACACCCCAACTCCAACCCCACCCCATACCGCAGTGTCCCAATCCTGTAGTTGCCCTTTCCCATCATCCCTCCCCCTAATCAGATCATCCTCGCTTACCAATTAATCCATTATCATTCTTGAATTGAAATGAATTTCTTTATTTTAATTTATCATTTATTACATTATTAATTCCCGCCGCCTTTTACCTGCCCTTTGCCCTTTACCCCCCCTTTACCTTTTTGTACATTGAAAATGTACGAAAATGCATTTGTCAGCTCACGTATTTGATAACTAAATAACAATATGCATAAACCGCGCGACCCGAGCGACGAGCCGCGCGGCTGTTATATAAGGATTACATTAACAAGATTGAAGATTGTAAGTTGTGTTGGGACTGTGTGCGCACGGCGACGTGTGCGGCACACAGATCCCGCAAAGGCAAATGTAAACACGCATTAAATAAACCATTTCAAAACGGAAAAACGAAGATGGGAAAGTTTTCATCTATCTATCATATAGATAAATAAATGTAGGAGGTACTCTCTATTTGGATTGGATTTTATGCTGACAACGTAGCTAGTTCCTGCGAGCTCGTCGCTTTGGTATCACCACCGCCACAGGTGGACCAATCGTAGAGGCAGCTTCGCCATTGGTGCCCGGAAGACCTGCGGTGGCAGCGCTGGGCTGTGACGTTCTATCGCGTCTTGGAAGTGGCTCGGCTGGTGGATGATAAACAGCCGCTGCAACAGCTGATATATTAAAGTTAGCGTCTATGTATCGTTCTACACTAATTTCAAGGCTCACCATCACCGCCAGTTCCGCCATCAGCTGCGGCCTGCGGTCCGCCAGCCACACCGGCAACTTCAGCTGGACGATATGGCAACGGATTTTCCTGAGAGGCATGTTGTGCGCGGAGCCGTCTCTGTTCCCGATCAATTGATAGCAGGCTCGCGAGTAGGTTGCGGCTATAAAATAATGCGGCGTTTTGCTGGTGGCCATTTTCTGCCGGACTGTGTCTGCGGTCTGCATGTTCTACAATCGCTCGCTGGGTGCTTCGAATGGCAGCAGCCAGTATATCAGTCGCTGGTGAGACGCCTGGAATGGCAACAGCAGCTACTGCATTCGGCAACCGTGGAGCATGGCCGAAATCACCTAATGCTGCAACGCGTCTCGGTTGTGCCCCACGAGGTGGAAGGCATCGCTCACAAAAACGGTAGTCCCCAGTTGCTGTCCGCACCGCTCGTTCGCCGCACTGCAGACAATGCCGCCAATAAAATGGGCTGCTACGGCGAAGCCACTGTGAACGTGGTGCACCAAACGGTCGTTGCAGCAGTGCCGCAGGGGCAGCATCTGGAGATCGTTGGGCACCATAATTGCGAGGAGGAATTAGTGGAGCCGGGTGCGAATGTTCACCAATTAAGTTTCGGCCGTTTGAAGGTCCATCAGCCTGGGGTGGCATAGGTGGTGGTGCTGCTGGTGCAGCGCGTTCGGGTGCAAATGGTAGAATTTCTCGTTCGTATTCTGCAGGGCGTCCACCAGCAGGCAAGAGGGCAGGAGCTGCTGCGGCGAGCTCAGCATCTGTGGAGCAAATCAAGAATCGAATTGTTTCTACAAATAAAATACATATACATATGCATACCAGGCAATCTGATGCGTGGTAGTTGTGGCTGCTCGATCATGGGCTCAACTGGCACGTCGTTCCCCAATGCTGCCAATGGCACATTTTCCTGCGTGTGATTAATAATAATAACGCTGTAAAGTAGAAAAAAGTATCGACATTAAGTTCTTTCGTACTCAAGTATGTATGCGAAGCTGCAAGAGCTGCCTGAAAATATGGAGTATGAGCATTTATTCAACCGACTTGTGTCTCACGCACCAGATATTGAGAATTACAAATAAAAGACGGAAAGGGAAATTTAATTATGCCAAAAAACAGAAGAGAGTAGTGAATAGCAGCAAGGCGGCGTGACTCGGGTTTTGCTACATTTTTTTTTAGAAATATTTTCATTTTTACAAGCGTGGCTCAAGCCACTCACAGCCAAATCTGCACAAATGTTAAGCATGCATGGCACATATTAAATATCATATTTACCATGGGTTATTCTCGCCTAAACTTATGGTTATTTCCATTCTGATGTTAATATTTATCTCACAGCACAAAAAATACTCCGCTTTGCAGCCAGGCGGAATTAAGGTTTGTCTGCCTAAATATTGAAAGCTGTCAGACGAAAGCGCCATATTAAAAAATCTGTCAGACGCTTGCTAGGGTTGCGAATTTTTAGATCCACCAGCGATAGTTGGTGGATATCAGGATGAGTTTAACAGTGGATCAAGCAAGCAACCAAAGAAGTCACGATAGCAGCCCACAGAAACCTCAAACGCGGAAAATTTGATAAGAAAAAATAATTTGAAAATAAATTTTTGCGTGTTTTGGGTCTAGTAACCTTTGTTCGGCTTTCCTGTCTGTGAAAACGCCGCCACGAGTCAGGCAGCAGTTCAAAAATCATTCTCATTTTCAACTTTGTGCCGAGCACATCTCCCAAGTCAAATAAAATACAAGTAAGCAAATAAAAAAAAAAAAACAGTTTTAAAATTTAAATATTATTTGTGAAAGTTTTGTGCGGAAAAATTAACGAAAATTACGTAACAAAATTTAATTGAGTTTAATTTAAATAAATTTAATTATTTGTGATGGTTTTGCTGTTTTTTAAATTTGTCATATTAATTTACATTTTTTAATATTTTTTTCTTTTGCAGAGCTGCCTTAATCGATAACAACCGAATCTTTGATCATGTTTAAGTTCAATGCGTTGCTGGTCTTCTGGTGTAAGTATGGGGCTGCCAGGGCTGTTCTCCATAAGCGAAACTAACATTGTGGTATGTGTGGGTTCAGGTGCCGTGATGATAATGCAGCCTTCGATGGGCGAGGGCCTGCGCGTTAAGCGCTCGCATTCCCCTGCCCCCCCGGCTGTGGATGCGATCACTGCCAAAGCTGTGGCAACCACTTTGGCCACAGCGGTGACAAGTCAAGCAACAAGCAGCGGCACAGCTGCAGGAACCGCCAAAGCTGTGGCAACAGGTGCCAACACAACCAATCCTCCAGCTGTGGTCACTGCAGGCCCCACAGTCGCCACCACCACCACTGAGACAGCTACCAACTCAACCGAATCCAGCTTGGGGCCAAGACTGGTCGGGGACTTACTGTCCGCCTTGCAGCACGCCAGGCGCCGCCTATCGCTGATGAATGACGAACTAACTCGCAACAAACGCAGCCACGCTTCGACCGGGGTTCCTCCAGGTACAGCCGCCAGGGCTGCTCCTCTGTCCCTGCAGCCCCTTGGCCTGCTATCGCTGATGAATAACGCCCCAATTGCTCGCCGCTACCACGCTGCGCCACGTACCGCCTCGTCGGCTCCTCTGTCCTCGCCCTTTGGCGGTTACTACAGCAAGACGATCTTGCCGGATGGCAATACCGAGATGGAGGAGTTCGAGCTGGTGTCCCCCAACCTGATGACCGAGATGACTGATAACGGAGTGCAGCAGGAGCTCGACTTTGCACCGAAAATGATGCTCGGCCACATTATGGCTCCGGCCAAGTACCATCAGCAGTACAAGTCGTCGCCCGCTCTGCCCCCCATGTTGGACATGTTTCAACAGCTGCTGCAGTCCAACCCCACAATGGAGCAGTCGCCACTGTTTCAGTTCATCAATCGAGCCGAGGATATGACGCTGCAGAACATTCCCAAGGTTATCGACCATATCCTGGTGGATGGTTTGGGGCTCGAGATTGATGACCAACTGGATGAGGACACAAACGCCAAGGACAACGAGAACAAGGATAAGGACAAGAAGGATGGAAAGAGCAAGCTACTCGATGTCTCCAAGAAGGACGAACTGAAGAATGGAAAACCCAACCAGGGGGAGAACGAAATCGTCATCAGCTGTCCCGTCCGTCATGAGCAGCACGCCAATCGCAATGGCAAAATGGTTGACGACGACATCGTCCTCGTCGACCAGTGCCATGTCGTATAGGTGTCTCTATAGCGTACAGGATATTTAGTTAGGTTTTTAGGTAGCTAATAATTCGATTTGTGCTGCTTTGGCATGCATCCAAATTTATAGTTTTTTTTTTAGCATTTTGTTTTAGTTGGTTTAAGCTGGGCTGTGTGTGTGCCCTTCTTAGTTTAGTTTAGGGAATTGCGTCAGGTGTCGAAATTGTTTAAATAATTTTCCGTTTGTTTTCGGTTTTTTGTATCAAAACTTTTGAATGCCAAAAAAAAAGATTATCTTTTATAAAAGAATTTAGTGTATAGGAAACAAAAAAAATAAAGAAAACTTACGCATTCAAATTGCAAACTGATTTTGGCAAGAAACAATCATAAGCGAAAATTGATTTCAGTTAATGAAAATTAATTCGAAATTCAATTTGAATATCACGCCTGAATCTTGCTGCTTCCATGGTGATGGGCATTTTTCGATAGAAATATATATCGCCACTATCGCTTACAATCACAGGCTTAGATTTAGTGTCGCCATCTATGTGTGGGAAATTTACAGCTTCGCTCATAGTGTCGCTGCTGGACAGGGAGCCAGCAAGCTTTTGTCGGTTAGATTTCAAAACGAAAAGCGTAGCTTTTCCAAGGTCAATTTAGGTTAATTTGCATAAATAAAGCAGTAAATAAGCAGCAGCAGCAAGTAGGAGCAGAAAAAATGGAAAAATCTCACCCATCTGCATGTCAATTCGTGTGATATGCACGCAGCGTTTATTTGACGGCATATAAATTGAAAAATTCCCATAAAAATGTGTAATTATATGACATATTTTCAATTTTCACAAAAGCCAAAGACGCAAGGGACGAGGACGAGGAGTCGTGCGCTCCGGTAAAAGGGAAACCGGAGGCTGGAGGCTTTTGCCTGCCACTGACACGTAGAAGATTGTGCCCCTGCCACCGTGCTTCTTGGCTGTGATTTCCGCTGCACAAATTAGCTGTTTTTCTGAGGCGTCTGAGGTAGCTGATAATCTGATTAGGCACGGCATGAGGGAGGGGGAGGGTTGGGGAATCGCTTAATGCTAATGTGCCGATGCAAAGCCACGACCTGGCTAATTGAGGGTTGGCGTTGGGGGCTGATGGGCGCATCCAATAGGTGGGTGGGAAACCAATAGGTTATCTATTGAAAGGTTCTTTAATCTCACAGAACTCTAACCCCAATCTCTAGTATCGACAAGCAACCCCCAGAGGGCATGCCCTCGCACAATTAAGCTCGAAATAACAACAGCGCTAAGCAGGCTTTAAGTCCCACCCCCACCCCACCCGACCACTGCAGAAAGGGTGGGCGGGATGACGGGGGAGTCTGAAGTAAAACTTGAGGAGAAGTCACGTCTAATTACACACATCTTGGAGCAGCTTTTTGACCTGGTCTTGCTGACTTGTCGACTTGCTGCTGGAGCTGTTGGAGCTGTTGGTCGGACTCTTTTACTAAATTGGTTTTAAAAGCCACAGGGGCTGGGCTACGTACGTACGAGCCATGGATACGAGAGCATGAAACTGGCGATGAGAGCGCGTGAGAACGTGAGCAATTATTACGGTTAAGTGGAGGAGGGGAGAGCGAGCAAGCCCTCGCGGCGAAGGCGGCAACCCAACAGAGGAGGGGTACATAATCCCTTTATAATCCACACACACAATGCCATTATGTGCTGAAAATTACGAAATAAGTGTCACGAATCAACAACAACAAAAGCAACCACAGCAAAAGAAAGCCGCCAGCCGACAGCCCACTGACAAACGAACAAAAGAGGCGACACACAGGATCAGACATGACTGTGGAAAATGGTTAGCAACAGAAGCAAATAATTCGATCCACACCGATCCAATTTCAGCAATTTTAAAGCAAGCGCCGAACAAAAATTGATTGATATCTGATTGAACAGGATCGACGGTGGAGGGGGGAAGCAAAGGTACGGGCAAGCTGCTGCTGGACCCCTGGCAGCCTTTGGCAGACAATCACGCACAAAGAGCTGAAAAGGAGGTGGCTGCTGGGGGGGTGCTGGTGGCTGCTGGTGGCTGCTGCTGGGCTGATGGGTAACGTGGAACGTGAATGTGAATGTGAACGGGACTTGTGAATTAACAATTCCTTTCAATTAAGTGCGCAACCGACAAAAAGTCGATGGGTGGGCAGCAAAAAGAGAGTGGCGCCACACACCGAAGGGGCGGGTAAAGGAAAAGGAAAAGGGCAGACGCGGGCAACGATATTTTCGTTTCAATAAAAATCAGCAGCAGGGCCAACACAGCAAATGAAAATGTTGCAGCAGTACACAGCTACAGTGGAGATTCGCCAAAGGGTACAAAGTAAATGGGAATAATTCTAAAATACTTGGAAAACTATAATAATTATTATAATAATTATTATTATAATTAATATAATATATTATATATATATATTAATATAATTATATATTATATATTATACTTTTACTTTTCAGTTTGTGGAATGTTTTTTCCTTTTTCTACAACATTAACTACCGGAAAGCATCCTTGATGGGTTCGTATTTTGCAGGATAACCTTTTAGGGTTCGTTTTCTTAAATCTTGACTCAGAGGCTTTACTGTACCCAACACATGTGTCGGTGGGGGGGTATGTATGTACATAAATAAACGCCGACAGATAACAGACGGCTGGCTGGTTGCACGGGTGGGGGTGCGGCTGGGGTGTTGGGCGTCTCCTCCCGAGTGGGTGGGTGGGTGTACTGTACTGGCTGGCGGCGGGTCTAAAATCAGCAGCAACTGTAACAAGTTTCGTGTTTCTCTTTTGCAATTTCTTCGTTACAGTCAATCAGTTTTGCATGAGCGATTTCTTTACTCGTTTGCGCCAACTCTACAATTTACTTACACACACACACCCATACACCCTTTGGCCTCCGTGTGTGTGTGTGTGTGGGGTGAAGAGAAATGGAATCCAGTGCCGCCTGCCTGGGTGTCTACAATCTGAAACAAAGTTAAAAAGAGTTGACTGTACTCAATGATTTAGAAATGTTTTCGGCCCCCCCCAGGAAACTTTTCTGTTGCTTTATTTGTGAGCTAAAAGTAGCCTTTGAAGGACTGTGGATATCAATAGAGATCATCCTTAAGCAATGGCTACAGCAATATATTGCAGATTGAAGCATTTGGCTACGCTGCTCCCCCCCATTGTAGTCTATAAAGTAGCAACAAATAATTAGCAACAATCAGGCAAACACTCTCTGGGCAATCTTTCGACTCCTGTCGAGCACTTTCTGTAATTAAAATCGAAGCGAAATCAAACAGAAACTGCACCCCAACCACAAAATCGAAAAGGAGAAACTTTCGCACACGTTCAAAGATTTTCACACGCACCTCCGCAGCCGCCAGGGCATGTTGCCACACAGAACATGTGGCAACGTATCCCCTCCCGACCCATTTGGGTCTAGGCATTGTATCCCCCAAAACTCGATGGGGGCTGAGCTTGTCTTTGATTTTGTCTGCAATTCGAATGTGTGCGACGTGATATTTGCTTAATTTTGATACCCACTACGAGGAGAGTAACCAGAGCGAGAGAGAGAGAGTATATCAGGATAGAGGAGAGAGTATTCTGCATGCACCCAACCTAGAATCAACTGGATGCTAGAATATAAAGAACAATAAATGGTAGGCTGCATTTAAAGCTGACTATCAGGTATTTTACAGTCGAAATAAAGTCACTACCAGCACGTTCGACTTATTTCCATCCCTTTCCAGCACTCCCCACCACCATCTCTCGACTCCCCACTTACCCTCTCTGCTAACCACTGGAGTCGATGTTCCCTGGGGGAATTTGGGTTTGGGTTGATTTTGGCTTGCACGAATAATTATTTGTCCATTTTGGGGTCGGGAGTTTGGCTGTTGTTGTTCAGGTAATTTTCCCACAGACACAGACCACAGAAATAGGGGGGCCCTGGGGGGCTCCCCTCTAGACCGAAGCAATTAGAATCGGAATCGGAATCAAACGAAGCAAAGCGGAAACAACACTCTCCCGTACGCAGGTCTCCCGTGCAGGACATGGCAGGACACGCCAGAACCATCGCAAGCGGATATCAGGTAAATGATTCCGTTGGCCAGAAGAGATGTAGATGCGGCAAATGCTTCAGATTCAAGCTAAATGTTCGTTCGGGTTTGTTTGGCAGCTGTGGAAAGCGTTCAGTATGCAGAATATGGGGGTGGTGTGGAGAGGGTGCTGAAGGCATTCTGTTGGCATGGAGTCTCCATTAAGTGTTTGCCTCCCATTGCTATTGTTCACTGCATTTGTTGTGAATTGTTTGCATATTATTTCTGACTTGGAAGATCTGAAAATAATCCTCGAACAGGCAGGTTCCTCCCTTTGTTCGTCAATTCAAGGTTGCTGGGATGCTGCGTACTTCAAAGCTCATTTCATTCCATTCAGAATATTCCGAAAGATTTCATAATTTTATTTACTTGCTCTCAAAGTTATTTTCGTTGTGCATTTAATTTCGAGAATTGTTTACATATTGCGATGCATATTTTATTGGACTTTTTTATTGGGTACTTAATTTTAATCTCATCTCTCTCTCTCTTCTCCATTCCATTCCATTCGTAATCGTACGGCCCCCCCCCCCATGACATTTGTTTGCTCATTTTATTCCATCTTTATTTTATTATTGTAGCAAATTTTGAGAGCCATTCCAGCGAGAGAGAAAAACATAGGGAAAATCTCTCAGCCATAAAGCAGCAGCTCATCTGCCACATGCCACATGCGGAGTGTCTGTCTGTCTGTTTGGTCGGAAAATATATAATTTCATTATGACAGGACAACCGCTCCCCACGCCCCGCTCCCATTTCTGTTCTGCCTGCAGCACATTAACTGTCAACACGGCTCAGGTCTTCGTTCAGCGGCATGGCAGGATAGCGGTTTGCTTTCTTAATCTTTGTACATAATTTGCTGGCAAACTCATGTTATGTAATGCCTGCCTACGCTCCTGCCCCTTAAATGTGTTGGCATGCTCTCACATGGGGCACATTTCCTGCTGAAACTTCCCGCCCAGCTTGAGCGAGAGATCTCTTTGTGGCAGTATTTTGCCAACCAAATGGAGATCAAATTCAACTAAGGAAAAGATTGCCTTTGATTTAAGCTAAAGCTGCTGCTTTCCCTGAAGGGAAACCCACCATCAGCCCATAGGAAAACATGCCCAAAAATAGCTTAAACTTATGTTTTTACTTACTTCACCTCCACCTGTTGTTATTTGTTGATCTTTTAAAGAGTATTTACGGCTTTGTCTGCGTAGAAGTTTGGCTTCTTCTTTTTTT